AGGCTTTGCAGCTCCCACACGCAGATTCCTCATGTGGCATATGCTGGACTGCTTGCAGGTCCAAAAAGAACTTTGACCATTGTTGTTGCATTTATAGCTCCGTAAAAACAAAAGCATCCCTTTGGACTCAGATTCCTGATTGGAGGGAAGACGTTCAGTTAATATGCTCATACACACTGTGTATGAGCATATTATTGATATTGAACTGTGCAGTGTGGTCACTAAAGGGTCATGTAAAAATAAGAGTGTTCTACAGTTAATGGAAAACTGAGTTTCCCCTTTGGAAAGAAATTTCTGGATTTTTTCCTTTAGTGCTGGAAAACATTACATCACTCAGCTATACAGGCTGATACATTCCTCGCATAACTTCACATATTAGTAATGACATCGGTTCAAGTTTAGGCGAGTGAACAAAAGAAGACTGGTTGTAAAAAGGCATTTGAAATAAAACATTATTTTCTCTAGTCATTTGATCACTTTGCCTGAGTAAAGTAAGTTATTTTCTTAAATTAATATCATATTTCTATGGAATAAATCCTGTTTTGTCATAATAGAATTGTTGATAGATTTCTTGAAATAAAACAAAATGGCATAGTCAAATGGATAAAATATTGGACTGAGATGCAGAAGATAAAGACTAACAATACAACATAGTAGTGTGTGACCTAATTAAATGCATTTAACTCTTCTTTTTCTTTTTGTGTTGTGTAAATAGTACTAGTCACTTTCCCAAATTATAAGGTTTATATTTTAAAGGGCAGACAGAGGAAAAAATGCAAATTATTTCAGCTCTTTGGCAGAAAGTGCTGTAGCTTCTAGACTCTTAAACTATATCCTAACATGTAGAGATGACTTTAATATTATTTTAGTATTGACTGAGCTAAATGATTTTTGTTTTCAGGTAGGAAAAACCACTGATTTCATGCATGTGAATATGAACTCCATGGGATTTCACTTAAATTTTAAAATATCTTTGAATTTCTAGTATAAAGAAAGGTGAACTGTTAACTGAATATTCATATCGGGTTAATTACAACAGACATTGATACAAATAAGAATAAAAGAAAGGGGCCATAATGTATTTGATATATTCCTTTTTTATTAATTTGAAGAGATTTTTGTTAGCCAACACTGATTTTTTTATTGTTGTTAATAAACAAGAATTTTTGTTGTTTTGTTTTTTGTTTTTTTATTTTTTTAGCTGTGGAAAGAAAGAAAAACATTTGGGGATGTCTGGATGGAGGAGTGACTCTGATAAGTTATAGAAAGAGCAGACTCAGATTTTCCAGGACCAATGATAAGTAAGACTAATAGAAACTAAGAATATATCTATTACACACACACATACATCTGTACACACACATTTATATAATATATATATCCTAAAGCAATATATGGATGGATGGTGATAATATAGGTACTGTTTCACTTCCATTATGGCAGTTTATTGTGAAATGATAACTAGGAATCAGGATTACCAGATTTCATAACTCTGCTACTTAGCCTTGCTGTCTTAGTTTCTGTGGGTGTGTCCTCAGTAGCTCCATTAACTCACCTACTGCGACCTCTTCCACCAATCAGGATTTTTCTCTTTCTCTCCACTGAAGAACAGCTCTCTGGGTGGTTAATAATCTCTCCTATTTCATCAAGGGAGCGTTTGTGATTATCAAATAAAGAATGTAATGGACGTGATAGTTGATTTCTCAATATCTATTTCATTCTGGACTATTGATCTGAGCCAATCATGATCATTTTGTTCTCCTTGCCAGTGATTGGTTCAGGAGTGGCCAATGCTGGGAAGCTTCTGAAGAAAACAAAAGAACAAAAATAACCCTTATTCTAAGAAGACACCTCAGGAGGAAATGCTTTTCACCTGGATGTGATGTGTGGAACTGCTTCTAGCGCACACAGCCATCCTGAGGCTGAAGTCAACTTAGAAGAGCTGGCCGATAGGGGGCGCCTGGGTGGCTCAGTCGGCTGAGCCTCTGAATCTTGATTTCGACTCGGGTCAGGATCTCAGCGTGGTGAGACAGAGCCCTGTGTTGGTCTCAGTGCTGAGCGTGGAGCCTGCTTGGGATGCTCTCTCCCTCTCCCTCTGCAACCCCCCACCCCTGCTCTCTCTCTCTAAAATAAATAAATCTTAAAAAAACCCAAAAAGCTGGCTGATGGAAAGTGCTTGAGATAGTGTGTATTTCATACTATCAGACAGTATAGGGAATTGCAAAAATATAGACGCCACGATTCCCTCAAGAATCATACTGTCTGCATTCAGTCTAGTTGGTAATATATACATAGATATAAAAAAAAGCTATAATATAATTGCCAAACAGTATATTTATGTTTGTGTTCATTAGCGTAAGATGGGACGCTTGAGGCAAGATTTTAGGAGGGCAATCTTAAAGGACAGGCTGGGTTTAGATTAGTACAATGAGAAGTGGAAGTTACAGTATTCCGGGAAGGGGGATTTATTCTGAACCAGTGAATGGAGGAAGGACAAAATTTGGTAGTGAGTTACAAGGACTAGAAAGTGAGTTTGATTGACACAACTTACAACGGTAGGGGAGGAAAGATTTTTTTCCCTTCTATCCTCAATAGCTAGGTCTATGAGGTAAATGACAACAGGCATATTAACAAGAGAAAATGTATACAAATTATTAATTTTTAATATCACATTCATGGGGCATCGGAGCTAAAAAAAAAAAAAAGTGACTACCCGAAGAGTGAGATTTGAGAGCTTATATTATGTCTTCATAGAGAAAGGGGAGGAGGATGTGTGCCTCTTAAGGGAGAATATGGGATTTCTAGGAAAGAGGAATGGGACTTTAGAAGACTAGATGGGAGGTATGATAGTTTGTGACAAAGTTTTTTGGGTGCCCTCTCCTGTGATAAGAGTCAATCTTTAGTTGATGAAACTCCCAGGTAGGGGATTTATGACAGTAAATTCCTTTTGGAGAATCTGTCTATAGGCAGATAGGAGTTCAGAGAAAGCCTCCCCCGCATTTGCTCTTTTTCAAGGGCTTTAGCTCAAAATAATCCATATGCGAAGACATCTTCCACAGCTGGAAGAAAAAAATCAGTCTGGAAAGTTCCCTACTACTAAAATTAGTGTTAATTGTTTTTATGTTGTCTGGTCATTTTATTGCTTAGAAGGAATGTACTTGTAAAGGATTTTACATCAAGAGACACAATAATGCAGTCCTTAATTGATCCAATACAAGTGTATTTTGTAATCAATCAATTCTATTTTCCTCCCCTGAAGGAGAAAGCTTTTGGATGGGTTTGAACACTAATTTGCATCCTAATATCCAATTTTCCCACATACCCTCATTCTCTTTAGAGTTTTCAGTCTTTTGATAAGGGATGACAATTGGCTTTAGAGAGGTTACAATTTCACCTGCTGTGAAATGGAAAATCTCATTACCAGTCCCCAAGTCCCTGCAGCTATGATATTGGCACTGATAAGGCCATGAGAAGCAATTTAAAAAAAATATACGTATAATCTCCTGCACCTTTAGGAGGTTTAACTAACTGATTATCGTGTTTTTCTTTAATATTTGGACTCTGATATCTACTTGAAAAGATTGTTTGTATCAGTTTGTAGTTTTTTTTATTTTTTATAAACTTCTTAGTATCAGTCCCACCCCACCTCTAGGGGTTATATCTCATCAGCAGATTGTATGATAATTAACTCAGAACAGAATTGCCTGACAGGTAAGAGCTTGGATTTCAAAACAAAGCTATGACCCTTACTTTTTTTTTTTTGCCTGTAAAAACTTTAGTTTATCCTAAGTCTGCTTAACACTTTATTTTTTTAATTTTATTTTTATTTTGTTAATCACCATACATTACATCATTAGTTTTTAATGTAGTGTTCCATGATTCATGTTTGCGTATAACACCCAGTGCTCCATTCAATACAAGCCCTCCTTAATACCTGTCACCAGGCTAACCCATCCCCCCACCCCCCTTACTTCTAAGTTTGCTGCATATAAATTAATATCATTTTTGAAACTGACACTTTCACCATATCAATACAGAATAGAATAGATAGGGCTAGAAGCTCCAAGCATAATTTTAAACTTCCTTGTGATTGTCATGGATTTTTTTTTTTAACTGGGACAATGATTATTTAAGACTTTATGGGTGGTAAAACAAACTGAAACAAACAGTAAACAACAAAGCATTTTTCATTGGATTCCAAGGAAATGCATTTTTTGTTTGTGTTTTTAAGTGCTTTCAAACGATACCAATTTGGTCAAAATTAATTGTTCTAAGTTATTTAAAAAATAGAAAAATGTGGCAGTTTTTTCTCTTTGATAGTTGACAAGCAAACATGTAGAAAAGAAAGCTGAAACTTGTAGCTCTGTATTTTCCTTATTTAATTGATCTAGTAATAGAGAAACTTCTTTTACCACTACCTCCCACCCCCCACCATTCTCCCCAACATATTAAACTCAGTGAGGACATTCATTGGTTATTTCTTAGGCAATATTGTTTTATAAATGTCAGCATGATAGTTTTATGAATTGCTAGACTATCTCTCTGGCCATATCCTCATAATTATAGCATTCACATACTCCTTTGCTTAGGCAGAAGGTTAATATACGTTATTAAAAAACTATTTTTTGCTGTTTTATTTCCCTTTTATCTCATTGTCTGCACTCCCTTTGTGCTTCTCTAGATTTTGATTGCAGATTACTTCTGAACAAGTAAGATGTTTGCTTAATTTAATTTAAAAGAAAGCAACAGGGAGTATTTAGGGCAGTGTTTCATGAATTTAGGAAATTAAGTGCTAAAATACTTCTTTTGTTTTTTATTTTTTTATGACAACTAGCTTTTGGGCATCTGACAATGCCTACTATCTTTATTTTTACTTCTATTTGGAAAAGCCTTGTGGTAGTTGTGAATTTGTCTCAAAAAGCATCTTTTCTCCATGGAAAATTACCCATTTCTATTGCTGGCTATTTCTTACCAGAGTTTTGTTTTTTCTTCTCTTATAGCCAGCAGTCAGCAGAGGACCTTGCCCGAGTACCTGCCAACTCCACGAGCAATATCTTGAATAGGCTATTGGTCAGTTATGATCCCAGGATAAGACCAAATTTTAAAGGTTTGTTTCTTACCCACCCCTCCAAAATCTTCAATCTTTGCAGTTTAAAAGTTAATTTTTTTTGTTTAATCATTCAGTTGTGATATTCAAAACAATAAGGTTTCAAATTGGCTTGCTACTGTCCTGTGATGTTGCTTAGACTTAGAGCAATTTAGTGACAAAGATACTCAAAGACAAGCAGAATAGTAGTTCTGATAGTTTTATACAGTTCCCAGTTAAAAGAAGAACAAAAATAAGTATATTGTGGATTAGACTAACCTCCGTCATGGGTTTGCTAAGTACTTAGTATTCCTAACCTTAGTGATTTAAATTTCAAGCTCTGGACACGAATCTGGCTTTCATTCACAGATGCCAAAGTTATAATTTGTAGACTAGCCTATACTCATTAGGGATAGACAATAGTTCTGATATGTATTTAGATTCTTTTAAAATTTTTGCTAGCATTTCACATTGATAAAAATTTCCCTCTACTCTTTTGCTGAAGAAAGATGGCCATATAGTTTTTAAAAACATGTTAACTTTGTGAATAAAAGCAACTGTGTTTTCTACAGCATAGATCGTTTCTACTCCAACAGAATATTACTATTTATCACACCTTTCAAGAACCAAAACCATACTTGCAATAAAAGTCACGAGAAGATTATATAGTTGTGTAAACTTTCTTTCTTTCTTTTCTTATTTTCTTTTTTTGTCCTCTTGATGAGTTAGGAAAAGCTATCTGAAAAAAGTCTTCTCTGGAAAACTGTAATCCTTATTGCTGGCTAAGGACAGGTATTAATGTAGATCAGATTAACATTATAAGGCTTGATATTTTTTTCTTCTTCCTTTACAGAAAAAAAAATGTCTGCAGCTGTTTCTAGTCAACTGAAGTTATACAACTATGTTGTAAAAACAGGGTTTTTGTTCATTACCAGAACCTATTCAGTTACTTTCAACAACAGCCATGGTCTGGGTTGTCACATGTCTACCATATATTGATTCACCACCTGTTTTTCATCAGTCAGTGGTTCTGTGGCTAAAAGGCTAAATTCACATTTTCCCTTTGTTAGCCCAACCAGCAGCCCACAACGAATAAAAAGAAAAAAGAAAAAAAAAAAAGCAAGCAAGCAAGAAATTTGCAACATTATACCTTAATTCTCACTCCATGAACTTTCAAATTATTTTCCAACAGGTCAGGCAAAAATCTTTATAATGATTCTGTTATATGTCTGATTAACTTCGCATATTCATGAATTAAAAATCAAAATATAGTCATCATAAGATGTATTGAATACAGCTTTACTAATGAAAGTAAGATTTGAAATGATTATAAAAATGCAAAAAATTAAAACATTTAAAAATGGTGTTTTTTTAAAGAATATTTCATGTTTTCTTAAGGTAAATGCATTAGCTCAATTTAAAATTTCTTTAAAGGTAGACATATTTACTCAGTCTTAACAATTTAAGAAATAAATATTTCTGAATAAATAACATGAGTTAATACAACTTAACTCATTTTTTATTTTTATTATGATCCCTTGCTTAGAAAAATAAGTCAATAGCAATTGTGAACATGGAATACTGAGACCATAGTTTTAAAGTTTTACATCCCATGTGGATTGGAAAAAATATAAAATCAAGTGCATAAACCATAAAAATATGAAAATTCTGACCAAGTTTTTTACAGCTACTAAATATATTCTTAACTTTTATTTGTAGGAATTCCTGTTGATGTAGTAGTCAACATTTTTATCAACAGTTTTGGATCCATTCAAGAGACAACAATGGTAAGATTACAGGCAGTTTAATATTTTTAATTATCCAAATTTTAACTAGAGGATAGTGAAAGTAATAGTAAAACTGAAAAATAAGGAGTAACTCTAAGGAAAAATGCTTGCTTTCTTCTAGTATGAAATATCCAAATTCCAAGGTGTGTTACATCAGTGATTTCAGTGCTTATATAATTTTGCAATTCAAATGTAGCCTTAATGCTAATTAAAACTTACAGACTTGGAAGAATTAATATACTCACTCTGAACATCTAATTGGATACCACCTGGGAAAAGCACTTATGCAATGAATATTCTGGAGCGACATTTATTTCCTAGTATGCTTATATGTATGAACATTAAAAAATATTTAAGTGTTCACAGTTTATTTTTCTTCTAGTTTCCTGAGGAGAATCTTTGTTTCCTCTGTTGTGCTAATATTGTGATGTTTGGATCAGAGAATTGTAAAAAGCAAAGAGGAAAATTAATTTTTATAAGATAAGGCAACAGAGGTCCCTGAAAAAATTATGTAACAAGAGGAAAGGTCAAGGAAGGGCAAAAGAAGAGCGAGAAAGAGATGACCGGCAGGCTCCTGTCTTGAACAGAAAAGAAGGGTTTGAAGGAGTGGCTGCCACCCATGATGAGTTGGACTGCAGGGACAAAGGCTTCTATAAGGTAGTAGTTGTGTTAGTAGGTTACTAATTAGTAGATTACATGAGCAGATTTTCTGAATGATGTGTGATGTAATTACCCCTCCGCTTCTTAAAAGGCATTCAATAAAGTCCACCTGCTGTTTGATGTTTTAGAATATTAGATTTTGTGCCTTTTTTGAAAAACCACATGCTGAAATGATACTTCAAGTGGGAGAAAGAAGGCCCAAGTTTTTTCTGTTTTTTTTTTGAGATACTTATATTTTATTAATAATACACATTTTGGATTGAAATCCCAGGAATGGATAGAACACAGTATAGTTTTTCAGGGACTATCTCAGGCTAGAGAAAGAATGATTTAAAATATTTATTCCTTTATTCCTCATAGCAGCATAATGTGTTATAAAAGCAACTATATATTGCGTTTAATTTGTGACACCCATTTTTATATCTAATTGCAATGAGAATGTTATTTATTTTTTGTAGAAGCATATATTTAGCCCCATGAATAACTGATTGTTTTCTTAGTGTGTAAATATTTTTAGAGAATTGTTCCAAAGAAGATTTTGGAATCAAATTCATTTATTTCCAGTGACTTTTTAGTTCACCTAAGTGATAGAAACAGAGTACAGATCACCAGAAGACAGCTACAGAGTAAGATACAGACTACCATATAGCACTTAGGAGACAAGTGTAGCATCAGTTAACAGAAAACGTGGTTAGTCTAGCTAAGCATTCACTTTGTAAGAATAAGAGATGTCCTTTTCTCAAGGTGAAACTTTAAGGGAATCCATTTTGTCTCTACACTATTCTCTGTGCCCTCTTTTGTCTTTCATGGCATCATTACCCTAATCCTAAATCATCCCTGAAATATGTTCTGGCCTGTTGGAAACATTCCTATTCTATCTTGCATTTTGGGACACCTAATGCAAGGATATTTTTTCTCATTTGCATAAAGACTACACATGTGTCCAGCTCAGTAGGTATCATTAATATATCTGTTCTTTAGTAATCATTTATTGAATGCCTTCCAAATGTCAGACACTTAAACTTCTGCAGGCCCTATCAGTAGTTACTTGATGATATCGGGTTGAAAACACCTGGGGGAAAGGTATGCTAGAAAAGGGAGAGGAATTTTCTTACAGATTATTTGGGGGTTATAATAAAATATTGCATATTTATAACATATTCTCATATTGTCCTCCTTCAGGGATTCATCATAGTAGCTAGCCCAGACTACTTATTGCTGGGACCAGATTCAACCGATTCTCATCAGGTAGTCTTTGTCCCTGCTATTTATCCCTGATTTTCATTTCTTATCTTCTAATCAGAGCCTTTTCTGGCTGCTCTGACTCACTTTGTGCCTTCTTTTCAATCCAGGTCTTTCATTTCTATCACTTGTTACTTAAATCTGATAGCTTCTTTACTGTAATTAAACTATTTTTTGTGTGTTTTTCTCTTATTCTCTAATGGAGTGGAAACATTTTAAAATCAGGAATAATGTATCCCACTTCTTCATTTTCCATTAGTTCTTTATTACCTAATATAAGCACTGGTCAGGAATACTGGTGATGGACTCAGTAGAGTAACTTCAAGGGTATACATGTATGGAGAAGATGAGAGGATATTTCTTTTTTTCTTCCAATCACCCAGGGTGGGCTTCCTTTATTATTATTATTTTTTAGCTTTATTGAGGTATAATTGACAAAATTATAAGAAATTTAAAATGTACATGATGATTTGATACATGTCTACATTGTGAAAGGAGTCCCCTCGTCAAGTTAATGAACACATCCATCACCTCACATATTAATCTTATTTAAAAAAATTTTGGTGAGAACATTTAAGTTCTACTCTCTTAGCAAATTTCAGTTATACCAACAGTGTTATCGGCTATAGTCACCATGTTATACATTAGATCCCGACTTTATTCAGAACTTATTCACCGTATTCATCTTATAACTGAAAGTTTGTATTTTTCTACCAAACTCTCCCTATTTCCCATACCCCCAAGCCTCTGACAACCAGTTTTCTACTGTTTCTATGCTCTCCAGGCTCATCCATGCTGTTGTAAATGACAGAATTTCCTTTTTTTAAGTGAGTAATATTCCATTATATATATATATATATATATATATAATATATCCATTATACACACACACACACACACATACACACACCACATTTTCTTGATCCATTCATTCACTGATGGACACTTAGGTTGTTTCTGTACTTTAGCTATTGGAATAATGTTGCAGTGAATATGGGAATGCAGATATCTCTGCAAGATTGTAGTTTTGTTTCTGTTGAATATATATACCCAGAAGTGCGATTACTGAATCATATGGTTTTTCTATTTTTAATTTCTTGAGGAACCTCCATACTGTTTTCCACAGTGGCTATCCCAGTTTGTTTTCCCATCGGCAGTGTACAATGGTTCCCTTTACTCCACATCCTTGTTGGTATTTGTTATCTCTCTCATTGATTCATTGATTCATTCATTTATTTATTCTGCTAATAGTCCAAGAGCATATTTCTTAAAAACAAAGAAAACAAAAAAGTCCCTGGAAACAAGAGGTTGGGAAAACAGAGAGTATTAGATTTGTCTAAGTACAGGATATATGTTCAGAGAAACAATATGGTGGCCAGTGTGTAAGTTGCAATGTTAGACCGGCTTGTGCTTGAATCTGTTGTGTACCTCATGTGCTATATACCCTGACAAAGAGTGAATAAATTACAAAAATAAAGCAACAATATTTTGCCTGGCATAGTAGCTCTCAGTGATGGTGATTCTTGGGTTGTTAAGTATTTTCAAATTCATTTAGTATTTCACAATAGAATCTCATCCCAAAGAAAATGAACCATTTATAAGTTTGTTAGTAGCACCATTGTACAGTTGTGGTTTTGTTTATTAATAGCCCCCTAGAAATTTCCCCTACAAAGATCTGCTGAAATAAAGGAAGTTGTAAAGTCTGGGAAGCTTTAATATTACCCCAAACTTTTCTCTCCCATTCAGAGCTTTCTACTTCAACTAGCAGTTGCTTATTCCAGAAGGCATAATGCAGGATGCAGAGCTTGGAGGGGTGACTGTGACTTCAGTAGCTGCTAGTCAGGGGGTGGACAGATGTAGGGCAGCTTCTGAAAGGGGAGGGCTCCCATTCCTTTTTTCCAACAGATAATGTTGATTATCAAAGAAGCAATCAAGGTTATAGGCATTCACATTGTTGTTAGGAAATTTGAGCCAATTCCATTGGGGAACCATTGCTTCATGCTTATTTGTTTTTTAATTCAGATGCTAACTATTGGTGACTAAATTAAAAGTAATCTCACATTTATTCAGAAGCCATAATTGTATAGTGAAGGAAAAATTATAGCCATATTAATATTCCTTAAAATCTTCCACACTTCCATGGTTATATGCCCCTTCAGCTTGTTTTATGATATCATTTTATAACTTTATAATTCCTTTTTCTCATATCTGTGTGTTTATTTGTATTCCACTACCTTACATTTTTGTAAGGTATCATTATAAATACTATACGTGGTATTTACTGACATTAATAGTAACATCACCAAATTCTCAAATAAATGTAATCATCCTAATTTGAAGTTCTAGTTTTATCAGCTTATATGTTACTGCCTGTGGCAACTGAAACAAGAGTATTCAGAACAGTGAAAAGAATGGTTTTTTAGAGGCCAGGTGGCATCTGCTCTGTGGTTATGTTTATAATATTTGTTGATTTTTTCCATTCAGTTCTTACCTTTGGCTTAAATCACTGGGATTTTCATAATTGAAAATGTGAACTATTGCACTTGGGGAAAAAATTGGGTAGTATGGTTTATTATAATAATCTGTACACAGAAACTTCATCTCATCAGAAATACGTAAGAGCTATTTAATGGAAATGGGAGCCTGTTTATATAATCCATATTCTTTCTTTGGTTTAGGCATGCTTCATAATTATATTGAATTATTATTATACTGCAATTCATGATCCCATCAGACTTTCTATGCCTTTCTGCTGCATGACTTATTATTTGTCTTAATAGACTTCAATTCTTTTTGAGCAACCCAGTGTGCCTATCAGGAAAAAAAAAGTCACATTCAGGATCTGCTAAAAGAGCTGAATTCTAGTTCTTGGCAATTATTTATCTTTGTTGTTTTAAAAGCAATTTCATGTATTTCCCTTTATATAGACTTACATTTCTTTCCTTAAAACTTGTCTTAGTTTACTCTTCTTTTTTTCTTGTTGCTTTTATTATTAACTTTCCAGCATTATTCATTGTAGAATAATATTAGACATGTTTGTCCCCATTTTTTTTCTATTTTATGTCTTAGATACACAAACCTTCTAAAGGTTTTTATAT